AGAGTGAAGGCCATGTGGCTACACCCTTTCCCTCTGGGTTCAAGTGTGTGAAGGGACCAGAGGAGGAGAGCGTTGGTGAAGAGGAGAGGCGCCGTTTTCACTCGTTGGTGGGCAGCCTCATGTACGCGGCGGTAAACACCCGACCGGACGTCGCATTTGCTACCGGACAGTTGGCTAGGGTTGTTCAATGCCCTAATGAGGAGCAGGTATCTGCTGGAATGAGGGTTGCCAAGTATCTTGGCCAAACAGCGACCGTTGGGCTGCAATACTCGGCAGCGGCGCAAAGGTGCCAAAAGGGCGCGGATGGTGTTGAACCCGGGCGTTTGTTCCTCACCGCATTCTCGGATGCTTCTTATGCATCGGAACCAGAGGACATGACAAGTGTTGGAGGGTTCATTTGCTGTGTTGGTGGAGGCCCAACTGCTTGGGAGAGCAAGAAGCAGGTGGATCAAGCATTGAGCTCGGTGGAGTCCGAGTACATGGCACTCTTCCGTGCCGTACGGGAGATTGTGTGGCAACGGCGTTTGTTGGCCGAATTGGGGGAGGAGCAGCAAGGACCTACCCCACTCTACTGTGACAGCCAGGGTGCCATTGCTCTTGCTAAGAACCCTGTGTTGCATGGCCTCACCAAGCACATGAGGGTGAAGTGGCATTGGACGAGGAGCATGGTGGCCGCGGGTGAAGTTGAGTTGCACTATGTGAAGACGACAAGGCAGCCAGCTGACATGATGACCAAGAGGCTGGTGGAGCAGCAGCATTGGAAGTGTTGCAAGCTGGCTGGAATGGCTCTGAACTGAGAGAGCAAGACCCTAAGGCCAACAATCCGAGGGGGAGTTTGTTGGTGCAACCCTACGGTTTGCATACGGCTTGTTGTCCGTGTGTGTGCATGCGTGTGTGCATGGAATGGTATGAGGGCATGATTTTGAATGTGTGTGTCGAGTCAATAGCGAGTTATCGCTAGTTGCGTGCGACGTCGTTGTTTGCGTGTCGTGTGCGGTTTTCTATTTTGTCGTGTGTGGAACGTTCGGCGTGTCGCAGGTGTGCGCAGCAGACTTCCAAGAACTCAAGGAAGAATTTACCTTGAAGAACCAGAGCCTTGGTTTCAAGAATCAAGTGATTTCGAAGCTCTCCAAAACGGTAAACTTTAAGATAGCGAGAATAGTTGCATTACTTTGTGTAGTGTAACATTTCACTTGGTGTAGGCCCTTGTGGAGGGTAGTTTCGAGACCCTTCGTGGTTGGGGACAGTGTGGCACTGTTCCACATCACTGTACCTCGGCTCTTGGGGTTTGTAGGAGCTGGGAGTCATTCCCAACTCGTAACTCTTCCTATCTTGTGTTCTAAGACTATAGTGGCTGCCATAGTACCGTTCGTTCAAACCGACGCTGTGTCGTCAATTCTTTATCAAATCGTGCAATCTAAATTGCTAATTGTAGACGACGTGAAGACGCTCCAGATCCAATTTGAATCAAGTCATTTGCAGCTGTGAGCAGAACGCTATCAACGTTTGAAACCGCTATGCAGAAATCCGTCTGTGCTCTCTATCTTTCGTTTTAGGCACATTCAAGTCTATTGTGACTATAACATAAGCCGCCCTTTCCTGAACTTGGTCTTTGCCGCGTTGGTAGCTAACATGCGGAGGAAGTGTAGTGTGTCAGCTGCCATCGCCCCGTAGGTCTCAACGGCAAGCCCAAAGAAACCAACATTGTTGGGACATCCCTCGTATAGTCGGTGCTTCCTCTACGAAGCCTCTTCCGCGGCCCACCCTGGAGGCCTGCATGCTCTAGAGTCTCTGTTTTGTAGCACAGGGTCCGTTACCGTCACGTCACACACCCATGTCTCACCCGAATCTTGATCTCTGATGGCTAGGTCGGCTCTCTTCCTAAGGACTGGCGGTGAGAAAGCCGAGGTCTCGTGAAAGGTTTTATAGCCTCCCTCATTTAAAATGCACAGAGCTGCATAGACGAGCACATTGTGGGTCCTAACCACGTCACCCCCGTCCTGGCAGCGTAGCAGATGATTCGGTAAACTCTTGTCTAGGATTGCCGAGTTGTCTCGTTTGCACGGGCATACTTCGGCAACTTGGAGCTCCATGCCAAGGCGGAGGCCTAGGACCAAGGAGAACTGACCGGGGGAGATGGTAAGGTCAGCCCTCGTTGGGACAGCATGGAGCCAGTCACCTGCTCCAGCCCCTCTCAGAGTTATCAGCCGAATTGCATAGCCCCTGCCCTCCCCAGGCCTGTCCACCACCGTGTCGCCCAGGAGGTCCGTTGCTGGTTGATTAGCTTGGAGAGGCACAGCTGCAGGCTGCCCGTCCCTGTGCCCCCGGTCCTGAAGGTGCTTAGTTCTGATTGCGCCTGAGCTGGGAGGCTGCTCTCCAGGGCCGTCAGGGGGTTAGTGTCTAGCGGCGGTGGAGACTAGTCGTGGGAGAGCATAGCAGTGGCTCTATGTAGTAGGCAGTCTTGGGGCAGGTTCAGGTGCTGCAGGAGGGTGTGTGCAGCTGCGACTGAAGCGATGTATGCGGCTGGCGCCTATGAAATGGGGTCAATAATCCCTAAGCCCCCCAGCCGGATGGGAAGGGTTGCCAGGCGCCAAAGGAGGCTCTGCTCCAGTTCCGACGTGGGGATCCGCAGTTTCGCCGCCGCGAGTGCAGCTCCGATCAGGGCCTCACTCCACTCCCTCTAATTTTGTGGGCTCAGGGCTGTCGCCGGTGTCGTCTGCAGTAAGTATGAGATCCGTTTGGAGATGTTGCGGGACAGGATCAGTAGGGAGTGCTGCGGGTGGAGCTGAATGATCAGGGGGAGTGGGGACGCCGCATCTTCCAGCGTAGCTCAGACTTGGCTGGTACAGAAGACGCCGCTACCGATAGGGCTGCCGAGTACTTTGATGCCACCTGCGTTAGCAACCAAACCCAGCGGCAGGTCGTTGTTTTCTCCCTCCGCAGTCGCCGTCCACGCTGAAGACTTGGCTATGTTGCAGCGGAGTCCGCACTCCGAGAGCTTGCCGGCTATCGTGGTGAACGCCAAGCTAACTTCTTCCCGCGGGCGCCGAGAGAATCGCCTTGGTGGACGCCACGAGAGCTCAGTATGTGGTCTGTGCCTAGACGAGGGTCCACCAATAAGCGTGAAGTGCCGTCATAGAGGGTGCGAACGAGGGGTAGGAGTTGACTCAGGGTTGACCAGTACAGTGCTTCTAGGAAGGCTGGCCGTTCTACGCTATTGAAAGTGTTTTCCACGTCAAGGTGCAGAGCGATGTATGTTTTGTCGTCCCTGGGTAATGCACGGACCGTGTGGATGGTGCACTCGACCCTACCTAGAACCGCAACGCCGAACTGAACTGGCAACAGGAATTGACGTATTTTGTCGCCTAAAGTCTGCAGGGCCGCTTTCGCCACCAAACGTAGGCGGGCTTCGCCGATCGCGATCGATCGAATGCCTCCGTTTGGTTTCTCGAGGGCAATTAGACGCGAGGGCAGGAGCAGGTCCCTCACTTGTTGTGTCTGGAAAGAGCTTCGCATATGATTCACGATTCTGGCGAAATTTAACTGAAGCTCCTCATTCGCCAGGGCCGGGTCCCGCAGGTGTTCGAAACACGTGCCCGACGGACCTGCACGGCATTTCGCCAAAATTTCCCTCAGTGTGTCAAGCGGTACAACGAGGTCCGAGGCGGTGATCCCTGTGACCCACGCGTGGTTTTGTAACCCGGCTATTGGATTTTTCGGCTGCAGTGCCTCCAATGTAGCGGCCGTGGGTTCGGCGAGTGGGCTGGTACGTAACGCCAATACAGCCTTCGAAATATTTCCTTTTTTCACCAACCCTTCAGCCCTCGGACAAACCCCAGCTTCATCAGCCTGGTGTCGTAACGGGGCCTCCGTGTCGGGGATGACGTTAGAACGTGTCGGGGCCTCCTAGTCGCCACGTTAGAATTTGTGCAGCCGTGCCTCGATCGTTTTCCAGCGGCCGCCAGTGACTGGCTCGAGGTCTGGTCTGAGGGTGAGTCTTGGGAGGAACTGCAGTATTGTCCAGCCATTTGGGCAGGTCGGAAAATTCCGCAGGCGATGAAGTGTTGCCAGCATGCACAAGCAGTATCGGTCCAATAACTGAGGTGGCAAGCGTCGCACGAGGTAAGGTTGGTCTCCCCTCCTCAGGATGTCCACATTCCACCCCCCCGCCAGGTGCCACATGGCATCATCTTTAGCCAGGTTAGAGGGGGACGGGACGCCAGTTTCCTCCGTGGCGGCTTCTCCGGGGTCGGCTGGATTCTGGGCGTTGGCCACTCCCATGTCCCTCTGCTGCTGTTGCTGGTTGACTCTCCCCTGTGCACCTTCCTCCTCCAGAGAGATTTCTTCTCAAAGCTCTTCCTCCCCACACAAAAACCCCGAGTCTGGGCCAGAGTGGTCAGACTCTCCTTCGTCCTCGTCGTTTGCTGGTCCGACTACGTTTTCAGGCCTGTCGTGGTGTTCTCGCCACGTGCCGGTACGAACGGGGATATCCGACCTCCCCGCCCCCCCTTAAACCCCCAGCGGCTCTTGCTGCGCCAAGTAGCCCCCCGCGTCCCGCCGGCATCCAAGGAGTGCGTCCACCATGTGGCGGCCCCCAGGTGATCGCTCCGAGCCTCACGGAGCGCCTGGGTCCCTGTTGGCCCAGTACATATTCAACTACTTCCGCAACTGTCGGCGCCGCCTGCCTCGTTGTCTCTTGTGCCGCACAAGTGCTTGGGCCCGCTGAAGCAGGCGCCGATCTATCCCGCTGCGCTGTCAGGCAATGTGACAGTTGGTGTGGTAGTGTCTTCCCGAGATGGCAACTGACGCCCTCGCCCTGGTTGCGGCTGCCCTTGCAGAAGCCAGCCCAGGAGGGGTCACAAGGTGCCAGGTCCCAGCCCTGCTCCGGGCCGCCTCGGCACTGGCTGGGCGCGAAACTTCCTCCCGCCCCTTCCACGAGTGGCGTGCGCCATCCCGTCGGTCCCGTGACCCATTGTATCACCCGCCACCTAGCCGCACCCCTACTTGTCTGCGCCCGCGACAGCAGCAGACGTTCCGGCGGACGCAGCGTCAGCCGTTGCACCTTCCTCGGCCCGGTCTCCATCCCGCCCCGCTACAACCGCCGTCCCAGACCCAGCTACCGGTACCAGTAGTGCAGCCCTCACCGCCTCCTCCGCCTGTCCCTGCTCCACCACCGGTCCGTGCTCCTTAGTTAGCGGCAGTGCCACCGGGGCAGTGGCAGAGGGTGAAGCTAATCCGTCGCCAGAGGCAGCGTCAGTCTCGACAGCAAAACTCAGTTCCGCAACAGTCTCCATTGCAGCCTCTGCCGCTGTCCCAGCCTCCTCCCGTCCTTCCCGATCCTCCCCCCCCCCCCCCCCCCCCCCCCCACTGTCGGAGGAGAATTCGTCGCGGAGCCCCCCTTCGTGCCTCGGGACCTTCCCGTGGGAGTCGTTGCCGCCTGCTGCCCGGGAGACTCCTCATGCTCAGCCCCCGCGGCAACGTTGGAGTCTGTGGGAGGAATCCCCTCCCCGTCGATCGAGCTCTTCGCGTCAAGCAGCGCGTTGGGCACGTGGGGACTTGCCTGACCCTGCTGGCAATGGTCCTAGACCAACTGCATGCATGTCAGTTGCGGCTGACACGCCCAGAAGATGTGCCTCCGGAAATGTCGCAGCAGGAGCAGGAGGAAGCCGTGGCGGCGGCGATGGAGATGCTGCCGATGTTGCCCACGATCGGCCTGGTGTCGGGTTCCCCTCGCTCCGCCCTGGAGCCTGGCCCTGCTTTGCTGAGGCGGCTTGCCCTTGCTGCCCTGCAGGCCCCGTGGGACATCGTGCCAGCTGCCGCATCCGTGCTGCGCTGGATGGACGGGCGGTTGTGTTGGATCCTGGCCGAGTAGCGGCCCCTTTCCCTTTGCCAGCCTGCTTGATTCCCGGCCTGGCCTTGGGCTTCCCCATGGCGGTTAATACACGCCTGGGGGTGTTGTAGCGGGTGTTGTTGTCTACCCTTGCATTGTGTAATGCTTCATCATATAAACCTTGTTTCCCTCTGTCCTTGCCACACCTCACGCGCGCGCCGCCGATTTTGGAGAGTTAACTGAACTCACCAGTGAAGAATGAGCCCCATGGGCAAGGAACTAGAGGCTTTATACTATGGAAACACTACTGAAAACGGCGAAGGACTAAGGACTAGGACAGAGAGGCTAAAAACGGCTAAGGACTGGTCCTAGGCCATCTCTCTCTCTCTCTCTCTCTCTCTCTCTCTCTCTCTCTCTCTCTCTCTCTCTCTCTCTCTCTCTCTCTCTCTCTCTCTCTCTTGCTTTGCTTTTCTCAGCCTTTATTTCATCATTCACACCTAGCCAGGCTTTCTTCATGGCTGCCTTCCTCGCGGGGGGGGGCTTGCTTTTGACTTGCCGTGCCATCCTTCCTTCCTCCTCTTGTGTGTGTGTGTGTGTGTTTTTTTTTTTTTTACAATCAACTTTTATTATCCCACACAAAGGCATACAAACCTAGGCCTACACCCTAACCAGCCCCTACGACTGCGCTTTTTCCTGGCCCTCTTGGCCTGAGCTACTCTCCAAGGCTCCTAACCAGCCTACGCACCACCGGTGCATCCACAAACGCCCCCCGGCACAGTGGCAAGGGGCGCCGCCCCATGGGTCCTCTCACACCACGGGTGCGGGGCCTTGTGTGCCACGCCCTCCCATAGGGCAGTTGTTTGCCATGTGGCCGGGCTGGCCGCAGCGGAAGCACGTGCCCTTGAAGAGGGGCTCGTGGCAGCCCGTGGGTGGCATGCCTTTGTTTTCCGGTTCGCCATCTCGAGGGGGAAGGCGGCCTCCGCGGGCGAAGCCGGTGCATGCACGCTTGAGGGCCGCCACGTCGGCTACCACGAGCTTGTAAGAGCGCAACGTGAGTAGGCTCTTGGCTTGGTACAGCTGGAACCGATCCGCCGCCTCAAACCCGGCCTCATCCGCCACCAAGAGCACCTCGAAACGTTTGTTGATTAGCGTTTCGACTTGCGACACGTTGGAGAGCGCGCCCTCGACGTTTCAGTGTTGGAGCTTGAACTAGACGTGCCTCAGGTGCTTGAATCGCAGAGAATACCTCCGCCTGGTCGCGCATTACTTTGCGCATGAAAGTAGTAGCTGCGGGTGTAGGGTTGAGGGGAGGAAGGGGGGGTGCGGGTGCAAGAATGCGACTGTGGGCAAGGTTGTCGGGAGCCTCATCGTCGTCATTATCCGGGTTGTCGATGTCGTCAATTGCGGGAGCTTGAACTGGTGCAGGAGCCAGGGCGGGCGCAGGAGCGGCAGCGTTGGCGCGAGCGACCTTGGTGGTGCGAGGAGTTGTGACGGGTTCTTTATGCTTTTCCGTTTTTACGGACGCTGAATTGTAGTCCGTCGATGTAGCAATTGTACCAAGCGTCTGCTGCTGCAATAGCGAGACAAGCGCCTGCAGCTGCTGTGTAGTCAAAGGGGGGGGGGGGGGGGGGGGGGGGGGGGGGGGGGGGGGGGGGGGGGGTGGGGCGTTGACTGGCGCGACGTCAGCAGAGGGAGCCGCGCGCTGGCGCTTCTGGGTGGTGGGCCCGGGTTGACCCGCGTCAGCCGCGGTCAAGACGGCGGCCGCATCAGCGGCCATCGTCGTCTTCTGCAGCGCGCGTGCTTGCCTCCCAGGCACACGCTCTAGAGCAGTCACGCGCGGCTGCTGTGCAGCCGCACGTATGTCTTCTGACGCAGCTCGGGGGTGCCTCCGAGCTGGAGGTCGACAGCAGGCCTGTCGAAGCAAGGCCATTTGGCCTTAATGCCCTGAACATTCCGGGTTACTCTCAGGGCAGGTAGCAATTTTAAAGTTTTAGGTTTGCAAGTCACCCTGACGCGACAAGGGCTTCAATCAGGCCTGGCCCAGACCTGTTACGTGCGTGTTAGGGGCCTTCCCCTGAATTCAAGTTCTGGTTCAGGGTTCGAAGGACCCCCGCCCCCCACCTTTCCCCTTGACCCCCCCCCCCCCCCCCCCCCAAAAAAAAAAAAAAAACCTTTTTCCGTATTTGTTGAGTGAGCACCACGTGGACGATATGATATTCATTTTGTAGCCAATCCTGGATGTGTTTAGTTGTTTAGTCAGCTTAGAAGCAGCCGCTTCTCACCTTAGCAGCCAATCTCCTTAGGCGCATTCGTCACATCAGTGACAGCATTTGTATTGTAGGTGTTAGTGGATCGACCAATGTGAGTGAGCATCGAGGACTCCAACAGAGCTCAAGGCTGGACAGCAATGTCCAGCAGGGAGAACCAAACGTATCTCGCCTGGTTTCTCCTCGCTTCCCTTCCCTTTCCTTCCCTCCTCGCCTCCAATCCAACCAGCTCATCTATCAAGCCAGCCGAGCAACCTTCACACACACACCCTCGATGGGCTTTATTAGCAGGCTGGTTTCTCCTCTCATCTCAACTAGAACTGTTCAGCCATGGAGCCCAGTGACGACGATACTGCTTATGATGACCGCCCACTTTTCCCAGAGAGTAGCTCCCACACAGAGACCGAGTTGGTCAGCCAAGACTCTGATGATGACGACGAAACTGACAATGAACACATGCTTGACGTGCCCATCTCTGTCTCACACACCCTGCAGAGCGGAGAGTCCCCATCGTGCAGGACTCGTGGCCGATTTCGACAGGCAGTACTGAGCTTCGCGGACCCACCGTCCTCCCCGAAAAAACGGCAGCGAAGCCAGCAACCTGCGCCAACAAAGGAGGATCTGGACAAGCTTGACCAGACTATCGCGGCTGAAGCGGAGGTGCCCACGAACACCGACATCCCCGATGCCGAGCGCGCTCTCGGCCGTCGGTTCATCCCTTCATGGAAGCAGACGTACTCGTGGCTATCCTTGAAGTACAACCGCGTTCACCGTCAGTACAGTATGAAATGTTCGCTGTGCTCAACCTTCGCCCCTCACACGAAATCTCCGTTTGGTCGTAATGGCGTTGGTGCGCGCGATTTCCAGAAGTCTGCGTCCAAGCAACACGACTTTTTCAAGGTTTATCTGGCCGCCATGGAAGCAGAACGTCTCGCACAAGGAACGGAGGTGCGCCAACGCACTCTCGTGGACATGTTGAGCAAGGACCCGATGATGGCGAAGGTCGTCAAATGCATGCAGACGGCCCAGTGGTGTGCTCAGAAGGACGCCCCCGTCGTTCTCCACCCGCATTTGGCGCATTTCATGGCCGTGCAAGGTTGCCCCGACATGGTCAACTATGAGGCATACGGTCGCTACTATTCAAGGTACGTTAAGTTCTGAAATGTATTGTTCTCGTAGAGCACTCTATGTATGGTTGCGGCCGATTTTAAATGTTGTCTTTCTGCTGTACGTGTCATGTGCATGGCAGATACGCTTTCGGCGAGTTCACTAAGGTACTGGCGCAGCATCTGTCGGACCAGCAGCTGCAGGACATCAAGACGTCGGCGTGGTATGGACTCTCCTTTGACGAGTCCACTAATCGGGCACGCGGCAAACACCTGATCATCTACATCACGTTTGAGAGGAATGAGGAGGTTGTCAATCAGTTTTTTGGGCACCTGACCCTCGAGAAATATGATGACGTGTCCATTTACAATGCGATTCTCTCGTTCCTTCACAGCAAGGACTTGTCCTTGAACATGCTTGTTGGCGTGTCAACGGACGGGGCTTCTGTGATGACCGGGTCGAAGGGAGGAGTTGTGGCCCTTGGCTGGTGGCGGTTCACTGCGTGGCGCATCGGTACGCATTTGAACCATGTTGTTCTGCTTCTGTTTCCTGTTATCACAGAGGTCTAACTAATTGTTGTTTACAATGGCAGGGAAGCTTTGGCCGCCAAAGACACAGCTGAGAGCTTCGAGGAGTTCAACGTCATCGATCAGCTCATCCGCCAGACCGCCGAGCGCCTCGGTCGTTCAAGTGTCAATCACAACAGCTTCATGCACATGCAAGACGTCATCATGAAGACGCAGTTGGAGGTGCAAGGCATTTTTGCGGTGCGCTGGTTATCTCGGGGGGACGCGGTGCAGCGTTTCTGTGATGTGCTGCCAGTGCTTCTATGGATGTGGCAGAAGGAGAACAAGGCGACGCTGAAGACTGCAACGAGCTTTAAGTTCCAATTCATGCTGTTCCTGCTGGCGGATGTCTTGCACCTGCTGAACGGCCTCAACCTTGCATTCCAGAAAAGCAAGGTAAGTTCATTGAAAAGGTCTTTGCTGAACCGTGCCTTCCTAGTCTAACTGTCGCTGCTTGTGTGCTTTCTCAGGTTAACATCACTGAGGTGAAAAACCATGTCGACAAAGTGAAGACCAAGCTTGCGCAGTGGTACGTCGAGCCATCTGCGTCGCTTGGAGCAAAGACGCGCCTCGCTGCCTTCGTCGCCAAACATGGCGACAAGGACAAGCGCGAAATCATCATCAAAGGAGCGGACGACGACGGCAGCCATGCACGCGCCACAATCCAACTTCACGAGGAAAGCATTGGGGCTGGCGGGAACGACTTAGACGCATGCTATGATCTCGCCAAGCGTTTCGCACAGCGCTTGATCAATACTCTTGGGAAGCGCATGGCTGACCTGCGGCACTTCGATGGGGTCCTTTTCTTCCAGCCCCATGAGTACCCCCCCCCCGTCTAGGTGAACGAGAGGCGTGGCTGAAATTCCATATGAGCGAACTCCTGGACATGTTCCAGAACCAGCTCCCTAGTATGCATATCATATTAACATACTAAACCAATGACAATCGTGTTAAGACATACTCACCACCATTCGTAACTCCTTGGCAGGTGTCTCGGCTGAAGACATAGAGCCACAGATGCACCTCTTCACCGCCACACTGGACAAGAAGTTCAAGCATCAGTCATTCAATCAAGCGCTCACGAACATGCTCCGCACTTCTGACTGGAAGGATGACTACCCCACCCTTGTCTCTCTCTGGCGTGCAGTCTCTGTTCTGCCCCTCAGCACTGTGGAGTGCGAGAGGGGCTTTTCGAGGCAAAATATCATCAAGTCCTGGGACCGTGTTGCTCTGAGTGATGTGAGGCTGGGGGAGCTGATGACTGTGAAAATGCTAGATTATGCAGTAGACTGGGCAGCTGCCTATGCCATCTTTGAGAGCAAGGGACGGAAGACTGCTTGAATGATAGGAAGATATTGCAGTATTTTAGGTAGGGATAGATAGGCTTGTAGCATGTAAGATAGGATGCTCATGTATAGAAACATAAACACGTGTACGCACAAACAAATACGGTGCTGTGGGGCAGCCTGTCGCAACCTGTGGAACATCTGCTGACATAATTCTGCCTTATAGCACCGGCGAAGCCTGACGGAGAGCAGAACCAAGAGCAATAGGTGAAAGCATCATGACTATAGCGACTAAAGCGGCGCTCACCTTGCTGGGTGAGGATGCCTGAATGTACTTCCACTTCAGTATGGAGTAGCTGTCGCTCGTGGGTGAGAAACGATGATATACGCTACTGTGCTTTTACTGATGTCATCCCGGGCTACCTTATTTTCCATACAGATCTGGCCAACTCGTTCAGTGGCGTCACCCGCCAGGCTATAGTCTCATTCCTTGAGGAGCCTGTGCGGAGAGCCACTCTACACCGGGAGCTAGACAACGGGGGAGGCCCAGGTGGTACGAGCGATCGTAGAGTTTGCTCGTGTTCTCTCTACTTGTGCATTCCTAGGGAGAATCGGCAAGAGTTTCACTAGCAAAAGTTGGGTATACGATAATGATGCAGTGACAATTGTTGGGCTGAGATAAGCCCTTAGGATCTTTCAAGGCTAAGATCAGAGTTGAAGTAGAGATGTTGTAATTGCGGAAGCATTAATATAAGAATTACTTGAACCACCTTGTACTGGTGTGTGAGAACAAGATAAGTTGATTAATAGCAGGGAAATACAAGGCTTTTTATATGATTACAAAGGGATATGAAAGGTTCTACTTTTAACAGTTTTGCTGTTGCGGTTCGATACAGTGCCGACTCGGGTAACTGCTCAGTAACGAGTCAGTTATGTGTCCTTGCTGTCGCACTGTACTTTTCGTCAAGTCAAAGGTCAGTGAGCTTTGACCTTCGCGTAACCTCCAGCGGTTGCTTTTGTTGACTCGTGTATTTCTTCGCTGTAGTCCGCTCCGTTTCGTGTCGATACTTCGATACTTCAGAAGCGTTTAAATTACTTGTTTCCAACACTCCCCTTCGCTTCTGAAGTATCACTGCTGATGACGTGACCTTATCCAGTCAGCAGCATGCAGTACTCGAACTTCTGTTTTCCGAGTTTCTTGGTCAAGTAATCAGCTGCCATCTCAGATGTGGGACAGTAGGATAGCTCGAGTCTTCCCTTCTTGATTTCGTCTTTTACGAAGAAGTACCGAAGGGCGATGTGCTTCGTTCGATTCGCGAACCCGTTTTTGTTCACTATGCGAATGGCCGATTGGTTGTCGCGGAAGAGAGAGAAGCTGGGTAACTGGGCCAATTTTTCTTCCTCCAGTAATTCGCGAAGATATAGCCCTTCCTTGGTTGCTGAGCAGAGTGCGATATATTCTGCTTCTGCTGAGGAGAGAGCGATTAGCTCTTGCTTGTTCGACTGCCATGAGATAGGTCCGATAGGTTCGAGTCTGTAGACGTAGCCTGTTCGAGATCGTCTGTTGTCAGAGTCTCCAGCGTGATCTGCGTCGACGTAACCGATTAGCTTAGGTATCGTAGTTCCGGTCTTGTGGTAGGTTAGTCCGATCGTCGGAGTGCTGACGAGGTAGTGAAGTGCTCGGTCGAGTTCGAGCATGTGCTC